CTACCACTACATCCACCGACCAAACTTACCATCTGACTTACCTAAAGGTAGCCGTTTGGTTGCCCAGGTCCAACTTCAAGATTAATTGAGCACTTATCTTTTCCACGAAATAAAGTAAAAAGATTAGTATGATGAATTCGGATTGTAACTGAGATCACGCCTTTTCTCGAATCGGTGGTGCCTTACTAGTTAATATCTCATTATATTCCTCGCTCTCCAATACTACTTCGCAACTCTAACGCCAGATTTAGTCCATCGAAAGGAGTCTGTCTCTGTGTTCTGGAGTGCTGGCGTTTCATTTACTTTCCCTTTATCAACCGACCCCGATAACGAAACAGTCATGGCTCCTCGTACAAACCACTCTGTGATGCAGATCGAAGATCCAGTCCACAGCCCACCACCCGATCGAATCCAGTTCGGAACAGTTTGCTCCGTATCCGCTCACCTGAGGGACAGAACATTGCACAATATCAATGAAGTGAATGACTTTTCAGAGTGTCTTTGATGCGTTCATTGTTTATGTATGTGTTGAATAGCTCGAGGATGGAGCCATAAAAAGAATGGTGTTAACTGTTGAGGTGTTCTGACGCCCAGGTAGAAACATTAGGTGAAAATGAATCTAGCACAAGCCAGGCTGAAAAAAAACCATGTACTATTACTAACTATCCACAATTGCCAAACTCGCGTTAGATCTTCACAAAAGAGCATTTTCCAACCGCTTAAAGTTCAGTCTGAATTCGAATAGGTCACACAAACGACCGAAGGTACCAGGCCACTCAAATCATCATGCATTATTCATTCCGAACAATACGGAGGTGTAGGAAATCACCGTTGAATTACAGACTTTAAAATGAGATTCGATGATAAAACAGGCGGGCACAAATACTCGCGCGCACACACACACACACAATCGCACGTACATACAAGCACACATTTTTACCGCCACCGTTTGACGCCTTGAACCGTTAAACGGATCCTACGATTTGACGGTTTCTGTAGTGAGAGAGCGAGTGAGGTTGGGGGGGGGGCTGTATCACCGAACCCACATACGCAAGGACACACACGTACTCACAAGTGCAAGCAGATAACAGTCTAACAGTGAACCACGTTCACGTGGCCACCGCACCCAAAAATGGCCGTGCATGAGCACATCGGTGCAACTGACAAATAAAAGAGCAGGTATCTGCCAAACTCAAAAGAAAGGTCGCATTACGTATATTCGGAGAGACAGATCTCAGACGGTTCGCACAAACACAGCTCACTCGGTCAAGTCTCGTCCGTGATCTCCAGATCACTGTTCTCTTCCTCTCAGCCAGAACAGTCGGACAACTACACCTGTTTCCGCTCACACCTGTCTAATAGGTTTGTGACTTGATTGCGGGCACAATGAACATAGTCCGCTTGTTCGTTCTACTGTTGTGCTTGACTGTCAAGTGCCAGGCTTCGGCAAACACGTCTGTGGGGCTAAATCACACGGAGGCTGGTGAACATGGGGGAATTGCGGCCGCCAAATGGGAGTGGCATGAATTGTCCGTACAAATTACCATCATGTTGTTCCTGTTGATTGTTATTCTCATCAAGATGGCATTCCGTCGAATCCCCTATTTGCCCGAGTATGTGCCGGAATCTCTCCTACTGATCATAATCGGTGTGATTTTCGGTGCCATTGTCCGATACGGTATACGTCAAGGTTCGTTCGAAGGCACAGTGTGGGTACTAACACCGACCTTGTTTTTCAACTACCTCTTGCCACCGATCGTGCTCGAATCGGCCTATTCCCTATACAACCGAACTTTCAGTGAGTATTTGGGTGTAGTACTCATTTTTGCCGTGTTGGGAACCATTTTCAACTTTTTCATCATCGGGTTTGCCATGTACGGGGTGTACAAAGCTGGTGCATTTGGTTACCCACTGATTGATTTTGATGTCAAAGGATTTCTGTTGTTCAGTTCTCTCATTGTTGCCGTGGATCCGGTTGCCGTGTTAGCCATTTTTCAAGATGTCGGTGTCGAGTTGAGTCTGTACTACATTGTGTTCGGTGAATCTCTATTGAACGATGCGATCACAGTCGTACTGTATGACATAATGGCCGCGTTTGCCGGATCGGATGAGGTAACCGGACATCAGATCGGGGTGGGGATTGCGTCATTTTTCACGGTCAGTTTCGGTGGCCTGATGATCGGTGTGGTGGTGGGAATTTTGTCCTGCATAATTACACGTGTCAAAAGTCATCTGGGTGCGTTTACTCTCCTCCTGTTAGCTTATTTCTCCTACATCATGACCGATTGTGTCGGCTGGTCCGGGATCATTGCAATGATCGGTTGTGGTCTGGTTCAGGCGGCCTACGCATTTCACAATCTGGATCACGATTCGGTCTGTGCTGTGCATACCCTGTGCAAACTGGTGGCCGAGATCAGTGAGTCGGTGATTTTTCTCTATCTCGGAATCGAGATGTTGTCCGAACAATTGGAATGGCAAACTGGATTCATGCTCTGGTCTCTCGTGTTCTGTCTGGTTGCTCGTGCTCTAGTCGTGCTCGGGATCACATTTGTCGTGAACATGGTTCATGTGGACGGTCGAAAGATCTCATTCACCCAACAGGCAATTCTCATCTACGGGGGTTTACGCGGTGCAGTCGCGTTCTCACTGTCCATCCTGGTCACGGAATCGATGCTGGGCGCTCAGGGAGAATACAATAGACGATTGGTCATCACAGCCACACTATTCATTATCCTATTCACGGTGGGCTTTATGGGTTTGACTATGAAGCCGTTGGTGAAATTGCTGAAAATTCGAATGCAAGGTCAGCACAAATTGAGTCTGATGGGTTCGNTGGGTTCGTTGAATACGTCCGTCCTGGACGAAACAATGACTGCGATCGAGATCATCTCGGGTGCGAAAGGACGAAATCGTGTACGGGATTGGATTGTGCGTATGGATGAACGATATGTACGACACTGGCTACAACGGGAACCGGAAACACGTGATCAGAAACTGATCAAAGTGTACGAGAAGATCGCGCTCAAGCTGCACTATGCCACCATACATCGGAATCGATCTGGCTCCCTGTTAGATGACCTACCTGAAGCTTTAAAAGCCGCCTTTTTGGAATCCGATCAAGCGGATAATTCGTTTGCCAAGATCCTGATCAATGTGACAGATCAAGAACCCAAGGCAGAGATCCAACCGAAGCGAAGGAGGTCGAGCGTATTCGATGTGGATTTCAGTGGACCACCATCCGATTCAGAAGTGCTCCGATCCATGTTGTCTTCACGACGCCCAACACTATTACCTCACGATAAACGACAAGCTCCGTTTGAGAACACATTGCAATTGGCCATACGTAGACGTACTCGTGCCCTATCGCATTGTGTATTCGAGGATCGAAAACCCAAAGTCCTAGAAGGTCATGTGAATAATGCATTCGCTTCGGATCTGGATGTGGTTGTATCGGAACATTTTGATAAACTGGAATCCGGTCTGCGGCGACATCTGTCCACGTAAACGAATCTCCCTCTCTCTCTCTCGAGATTCGACCATTCGATCACTTATCGTATTGTTTACCTAACCACTAGTATCCAGTGATAGTGACATAGTGACACTGTCTCATTGTTACCATGTTACATCAATTGAACTTTATCTCATCAGGTCATATGTGTGATCAACAAAACCTGTAAGCAACTGATTTGTCACCACGTTCGAGTGACCGATTGCGTCATTTAACTGAGCATTTTTTTATGCCCTCCCATACAGTCTCCTTTCCCCTCCAAATCTCCTCCTTGTTCATTTACATTGAGTGATCCAACAAGGTTACCGGAAAAATTGAAGAAAACAAACTATCTACTTGTTTCTAATAACTTCGTTGTGTTCTTTTGTATGGTAGTTCGGGTTCAATCAGCTGATGGTTCCTTGCTGTTTGTTTCCGACCCTCTCCATCGATTGTTTTTGCCCGTGCGCAATCATGCACTGTGTTGTGTTATGTATACACTCCCTCCGTCCCCGTCCACCCTGCATACACACAGCATTCGATCACAAATACATATACGTGTGCATAGACAAAAACGTTGTACAGAAAAATCAATAACTGTGAAAGTACTACAGAAATTTGGTGAAAAGTTTTACCAGTGGGTACTCTCCCGCAGCAGATAGGCATGAATTGAGCCACAAATGCGGCCAACTATTTAGGACAAGCTTTTGTAAGCTGGGAAGAGATTAGATCTAGCCGTGTTGGATCTGAGAAGCTTTAAACTGGGCCGAATCTCGATCGGGTTGATGGGACGGATGGATCCTCGGGAACGAAATAGGTGGAACAAATCTGAGTAACTAGGGTCAGCAACTGCCAACCCTCTAGTAATGTTCTCAATATCAGTGCTGTCTGTGACTTTCGCATTCAATCCAAATTATTGAAAGCGAGAAAAATGTGAACTTACATTTGGCTGAGCCGTTAAACATCACGCCTCATAGGAGGATGCAAGTGTTTAACAAAACGTCCTACCCAGTCATTTAGTCCCTTTATTTTATCCACAACGATACGTCAGAAGAGAGGCGAGATAAACTGATCCATGTTATCTGCCAGCTAGAATTTGTGTCAACACATTTTTACTTTATCTGAAAGACGCAAACAATGACTCAAGAATGCGGAAAAATAGTGTATGAAATCGGCGATATCACATTCACACTTTTTTTCTATTCCTCGAATTTACAAATTAATCTCGGGGTAAATAAGAAGGAAACCGGGATCAGAAGAGCTAATAACAGACGTTTCTTTAGACGGATACACGTCGGGGGGAATTCTGTAAGCGTCATGTGAGTAAAATCACCAGGTTATGTCGATGAGGTGCTAACAGAATAGTCAGTGAAATGATCGAACACGTCTATAACAATGCAAAAAATGCCACAATTGATGGAAGAGAATGGTTAGGTAAAAACCGTTAGAGACCATGTTACCGTGTCTGGTACAATGTAAAAGCATAACACCAAAATCTAGGACTAAAGCGGATTAGAAACGGGGGCTTGAAAAGGATGAACATATCGGTTATTTTGGTGCTGCCTAATTCATATGGGAGATAGTTATAGTCGAACTTGACCACAACCTCACCCCAGTTGCCGAAGTTCATTGCTGAAAACTTCAAAATAATCCATTGGAACTGCAAAATTATTCACGTCAGAATGTGATGGATACGTTTTTACGAACCACAAAAGCTCTAATGCTTCTGTGTGTAAGCATCCGTGGCAGATCAGTAATATCTTCAATCTTGTCCTGCGGGTATTTCTAGAAATGACGATTACAAACCGGTCTGTACGTCTCTAATTGAATTGACTTTTGGCTCGATACCCAATTTTCATCGATTATTTTGAAGTGATTTCGATCTACTACTTGAGTGAATCCAAGAGAGTGAGCTATTTGTGGCTTGGGGATTGGAAAACAAAATACCATTTCAATGATGGAACTTGATGCTGTTTGGTTCGAACATCTCGGTTGAAACGCGAAACACAGCTTTTCACTGTAATTCAGGAAACAGTGATCTCCTGGGTTTAAAAGTCACACACAAATTCAAAGGTCCCATCCTGTTTAAGATTCAAAATCAAGTGTTAACCAGATTTCAGAACCCAAATCGAAGCCAAGTGACAGAGTTTCGGTGTCCGTATTCGAACAGTATGATCGTTACGGAAACGTTCTCAATTTGGATAAAGTAGGCCTGACAGCAGACAGACTGTTTCGCTTCGGGGTGATGGATACCAAATTCACTATTAAACGAGAGTAAAATTTCATCCCGAATTCACAAGTATAGTTATTCTATGTTAACTGCTTATTTTGAGGATCATTTTTTCTCAATGACAGTCGACCACTGCGTCTCTGGCCAGTCTCCAACCGCAGATTACCAAATGGCAGAATCCCGATTATCGTTCTCCAAATCCAGGTCTTCTTTAACTTTCTGCCACTCATGATCCACAAGTATAATCAAAGCAAGCACCAAAGAAGCCTTTTCGGTACCATATTCCAGTAACCACAGTCTATGTTGATCAAAATCGTTCTCTGCTGCATGGCATTACCCATTGACATCAACGTTGTGCATCGCGCACTACCAACTGAGATTTTATCCAAGATTTTTCCGATAAGATATGTTCAGCTAGCTGTCTCAGTGATAAAATGAGTTTACTTACTCGTTTGCCTCTCGGATAGAGTGATGATAACAGCTGGATCTATTTCATCATTTTACACCACTGGGTTACACTAACCTTGAACTCATCCGGAAAAGTCTACCAATTACGGGGGTCTACGAGCAGCAGCAGAAGCAACATGCTATCTGCCCAGTCTATTCTAAAGGTTAGACACATTGTCATCCGGGAGTGTATTGATAACACTATCATCACATGAGGACAGATCCGTTTGAAAAGAGTTTTCATTCTATAGTATCGGAGAGAGGGAACACTTGATGAATCGCATTTTCCGTAATGAACTGGGAGCAAGAAGATCCGTAAGCTCAAACGTGGATTTGACATTCAGTACACGGTGCCCAATGAATATAACCTTTCCAGGAGAGCTGAAACCAGGTTAGAAAAACCGGTTTCAAATTATTATTATTATCATTATTATTATTATGTCACACATGTCAGGTAATATTTAACGCTGTCTAATAACAGCATACTCAAACTCGTCACATGCCAAGTGTCCTGGCTCCTAAAATTGATGTAGGATCTTAATGTAACAGAGGGTGAATTGTCTGATAATAGTGAAAAAGCATAGACACAGATCGGTGCTTTGGGGAAAAAGTTTTTAAGTTTGTTATTATCTGCAGATTGGAACACACACATATTTTGTCTAATGTTAATCTTAGTCGCTTGATTCGAAGCAGTTCAGCGAAAAATTGGGCGTTTGATTTATGTGAACTGATCAAATGGTCACGTGATTCCGTACTTACTGGGAAGAGTCGCTTCAAATGAACTTATCTGTGTTAACCTAAAAATCGAATTCTTCATTTCCATGCTACGCGATTTACGATCACTACTCATTACTTATTTCATTCCGAGAAAGATACAGGTCGTCACCCTGCTTCCGAAATGATCTAGATCGTTTAAAGCTGATATGATACCACTACCTGAGAATTTGGCAAGCAATGGAGTTTACTTTTTGGTCTAAGATCACATCTTATCTACCCATACTGTTGGCGGGGCTTAAAAGAATTCTCGCTATGCGGAAGACAACGTTTGTTTTCCTCAAAATGAACTAATTTTTCGAACAGTTTTTTTACTTATAAAGTTATAACGAGGTAGTTTAATTGCGATGGAAATATTTGTGATGACTGACAAAAGCAGCTGTTTCGTCCTGTTTTGGACTCATCGGCAGTGCGTGTACTTTTTGTGTCCCACTCAGGACTCGAACCGTAAACATTTGACTACAATGAAATGCATTCAACTAGTGGGGAATTAACGATTTCCCAAGCATGGAAACCAACAATCAAGGCCTGGTGCTTCTGAACGATCAAATGGGCTAATACAAACATGATACTCTAAAATTATAAAGTGGTACCACTTGTGAATGTGAGTGCACATTGGTAAACTAGAATCGAAGCCACTAGCATTGTGACAGAACCTCCCACTTCGACGGATCACCTGTCACCTGTGAACACAGGCACAGAATTGGCTACTTGATCTCCTACATTTGTCGTATTCCACCCAAATAATGACAAGAGCATGGTTACTGGCATATTGTAATACTTTTAGTAATTGTGGTATAAATTGATCGCGAAATGC